AGGCATAGAACCAAGCATGTCTCATTCGACATATTTTGAACATTTTTGCTTGCGCTAGATCCTTTTGGGTAGCTTGGATTCATCGTTATTGTATCAAGAAAAGATCGTTATGGGACTTACATTTAACTTCAGCTGGTGCCTGGATATGGAGAATGGTTTTGAAGTGTCGTACTTTTGTGCAGCCTTTCATAACAAGTTCAAATTCTTTCCCCAAGGGAATGGTGTTTCAATTCAAAAGTTTTATGTCAAGACCATATAGTCAACAATCAGAACACCTTTTCCTTCGGTTCCTTGGCTTCATTTTGTCTAGGATAAGCCAATATACTTGATACCTAGTTTGCTACTTTGACTGATTATACTTGATCGTGTAGTTACCAAAGAGAAGTTATTTCACTGGAAGTTGATAGGAGATCAGGTCAGTTGCCCACTTAGTGATGGGGGTTTTGAATCCAAAGACCATGTATTTAGGTCTTGGGCTTATTCTAGTAGGGTTTGGAAGATTGTGTTGAGTATTATTTATGGACAGCTGGGAAGATCATCTTGCATAGAGTTCATCTCTTGGAAGGGCAACAATGATATATCAATGGTGGGGATGTTTCTTTGGACCATGGCCTTGAATCAAATATGGCATGAGGTTTTGCTCAAATGTATGATTCTAGAGAAAGTTGCTCACTCTCACAGCTTGGCACCTGAATTCTTTATGAATGCATGTTATTTGCGAAAAGAAACCATACAATTCACTATTCAGTTTAAAACCTACAAAAAATTTCATTGTACCACTTTGCCCCTTAAAGAAAAAAAATATTCTTAAAATTTTACTCTTAATAGTAATTTTTCACTTTTCCCTGACTCCCAACCATTAAACACACAATTCACTATGGTTAATTGCACCGACTGTCACTTAAGTTTACAATTCGTTGCACGGTGACCACCTAAGTACATTTTGTTGCAAGCTAACCACTTACGTCAAATAAACGTTGCAACGTCACAATTTTCGTCACTTTAGCTAACAACATGTAGCAATAGGAATTTCTCATGCCATGTCGACTCGCCACGTCAGCTGCAGCCGCCTAGTCAGACCTGGCCCACTAAATAGAATGGGCATCTTGCTTGCAAGGCAATTTAAGATAAAAACAGGCTCTTCCTAGAGGCTGCTCAGTTTTCCCTCTTCTTTAAATTGCAAGTTGTCGTGGCAAAACCTTTCTTCCTTCAAAGAACGACGCAGCCAATAGGTCTTGGTAAGTGTTGAATATGCCGCAACATAAGCATTTCCATAAACGTTGAATGTGTCTTTGTGTCTCATGTGGTAAGCTAACTCGTGCACTTGTTGTTCTTACGTTCGTTCTTTCTTTGTTCCTTTGTTCTTATTTATAATCTATTAGCAAAATGCTTCCAACCATTAGGGAAGTTGGAGAATTAAATCATATACCAACATATGCTTCCAACCATCAGGCGCCTACTGGTTTTCTTAAGGAAACTATATGTTTTACAACCCTCTATCGTACAATGCTTACAAGCTTGAGATTTCCAGCAGCTCCCTATCTATACATCTATTTCACTTTATGACCTCTGGGATTCGCATCAGTCCGCGAGGGTCGAAGAATCGCCGGTTCACCACAGCGACACAATGGAGTTGCTGCCGTCATTGAAAATCTGTAGAAAGAGGGATGAATGCAACTTCTTTGATTCGACGAACAATACTTTCTAGAATGGTGATATAGGAGGGAAAGGAGAATATGTTGTGTAGCATGACAAGATTATGGGAAGATGGAAAGATTAAAGAGGAGAAAGATTTTCACTGCGGGGAAGAGGGAAGGGATGGAGATGAGATATCAGTGAGCATATTTTTTTGGGTGTGAAGGTGAGGAGATTTTAGTCCATTGGGAGAGAGGAGGGTCATATAATAGTATTGATTAGGGCCTAATTGTACTTTTTTTTATCCCGGTTTATTTTTGATGGTTGTGGCAATTGAGCTCCAAAAAGGGTGGTTTTACGCTAGGTTTCTTGTGTTTCAATGTGTTTTGGGGTCTAACAAGTGAAACCAACCCCGGATTCGAAAGTTGGAAGAAAAGGAGCAAGGACCGGGCAAAGAGGAGTTTCCAGCCACAGTTCACGGTCAGTCATTGGAGTTCACGGTCACCAGGACCGTGAAGTGGAACCACAAACCGTGAACCGCGAAGCATCCAGAGAGGTTTTAGAGGTTATTGCCGCCAAGGAAGTTCACGGTCGCCAAGGCAGTTCACGATCGCTAAGACCGTGAACTGGGGCAATGGACCGTGAAGACCAGAAGTGAAGCGGCGCGTTTTGCTCACAGTTCACGGACGCTTCTTGATGTTCACGGCTATGAACTGGACGCGATCTCAGTATATAATGAGAGCTAAAAGGAAGAAGAGGGAGAGCACAAAGTGAGAGAAACCTTCTTCTTCTTCTTGAAACCCTAGAGAGAGAAAGCACGAACCAAGAGGGAGAAGAGGATAGGGTTTTGCTCCAAGTGAAGATTTTGGAAGCTCCTCTTCAAAGGAGGATCTCTACAAGCACAAGGAGAGTTGAAGGCATCACAATGATGGTTTCTTTCTTCCTCTTTTGTGTTCTTCCATTGTCTAGCATGGAGTAGTTACCCTTTTCACTTGGATGTTGTAGAACCCTAACTTCTATCATGTAATTAATTGTGTGGATTGAATGATTGCGTGATGGTGGTGTTTAATTTAAGTGTTGAGGTATTTTTCATGGTGATTGTGCATAATGTTTGCTTGACAATCTATTGTGCTATTCTAACCTAGTTTAGAGAGAAGCCCCCTTATCTAAAGAGGCTCAAATTGAGCTGGGTTTTCTTAGGCATTTCATGCCTCCTAACTAGGTTAACGTGCAAACCTCTAACTTGGATTAGACACCTAGGTTAATTGTGAATATGCCGTCCAAACCTTGATTTGAGGGATAAGGAAAGTCAACCCTCAATTTATTGGGCCAAGAGGGCTAAAATTGTAGCCTCTAATGTTTCCCCTGGCCTAGCAATTGAGAGATGGTTTCTAACCATTGTTGCACCTCCTACGGGTCGCAATTGCCTTGTCACACATCGTTTCATTCGATCCCATGATCCATGATAATTAGTTAGGGGGAAGCAACACCCGAGTGAAGCTTCTCACCAAGAGTTTTCCACCATTTTACTTTCCAAGTCTTGCTTTTCAATAGTAGATCGTAGAGATTTTTTCAAAACAACAATCCGCTAGATAATGTTTCAAACAATCGAAGTAGGGGTACATGGGTCGGTCCAGGTTGACATTTAAACGTACTTGCCCTATATTGCACCTATCTAAGGTTTATAGTTGGGCATTAGGTGAGATTTTATTGTGATAGTCGGAGCGAGTCAAGTATTGAAATTGTTTAGATTTAGTGGGCTATGTATGACTAGGCGGCTACAACTGGCGTGGCAAGTCGATATGGCGTGGGAAATTTACTTTTGGTACATGCCATTAGCTAAAGTGACGGAAATGGTGACGCTGCAACGTTTATTCAACGTAAGTGGTTAGCTTGCAACAAAACATACTTAGGTGGTCACCGTACGTCAACCGAATAGTAGACTTAAGTGACAACCGGTGCAATTAACCCCAATTCAATATAACATTAACTACTTTTTTTATCGACATTAACTACCTTTTTATTAATAAAAAAGTACTCAATTTTTACCAAGGCTGTCAACCCGTGGGGTCGACCCACTTTGACCCTGGCCCGATGAGAAAAACGGGCTGCACGCACCCGCCGGGTCGACCGCTATAAGGTACCGGATTGGAAGTCAAATTGTGTCATTTTTTCTTTGGTTTGCGAAATGCGCCTATTTTCCGATTGTTCTTTTCGCTTAACTCAATCTTTGGAATCCTAAGTTGAACATTTGAATGTATATGTTATATAAGTGTGTGTGAATTTTCACTATATGTTGGATCTAAGTACGACATGTTATTTTGGTGGAATATTATATGTTATAACTCATATGTTAGATGAGATTTTATATAATTTATCACGATAAGTATAATATAATGACTCTTTCTATATTTTCGGGCAAAAACGGGTGACCCATTAACCCTTGACCAACTATTTCCACCGGGTCGGATCAACCCACGGGTTGACAACCTTGATCTGTACTAATTTAATTTTTCTAAATTCTTACCAAAATACTTAATTATTCTACTATATTACTATTCAAAGGAAAAGTTTAGAAGGCTCTTGATTCTTTGATTAAGAGGAATTTTACAATGCTATATAGCATTGGTGCTATAGGTTTTTACCTTTATGGTACAACTTGAAATTGTACATTTAATGTTATGGTACAACTTCATATTGTACCTATACTTTTTGTACAAATTTTTTTATGGTACAACTTAAACTTGTACCTTATGTGATGGTACAACTTCAAGTTCTAAAGTTGTAGCATAACATAATGATACAAATTTCTTTATGGTACAACCTAAACTTGTACATTTAATGTTATGGTACAACTTCAAGTTGTACATTAAAGCACTAATACTATATAGCATAGTAGAATTGCTCTTTCATTAATCTCTTCGGGGTCGTTTGGAAGTTGCGTATGTTGAATCGTTGTATTGTTATGAATCACTATTATATAAATGCTTGCATTGATACAATAGATGCATTTTGAAATTACATTGTTTGGTTGTTGAGATTATAATTTATGAATTGATTGTTATAAAGTTACTTTATAAGGAAATATCATATTTGTCCTCCACTTTTAATATAAAACAAAAAGAACTATGGACATAATTGGAAAAAGTAAAAGTGGTCAATTATTAAACCAACAATCACAACAATCTCAACTTTTAGTTGAGATTGTACAATCCCTCATTTTTGTTGATTGTTGGTGGGACCCACACAAAACAATACATGCATTGTTTTGCAACTTGACACTTTCAAACGCTGTATTGTGGACAATGCATGTGTTTAACAAATACAACACTAATAATCATAACTTCCAAACTCATTTATTTCTTTGCCAAATTGTCAGGCCAAGGTCAGGCCACGAGGGAAGAGTACAATTCAGCGGCGCATCAGGCATCAGCCAGCCACACCGAGTCGATATCACGGTTGCCGTGAATCCCATAAATACGAAATCCCCTTCTGACCTACCCTTCTTTGAGCAAAATTGAAATTCCCTTCTTTCCGCTTCCCCAATCTTTCCCCACTGATTCAATCCTCGACCAGAAACAATGAGCTGGTGGTGGGCTGGCGCCATTGGAGCCGCTAAGGTAATCTCTTGCTAACCTCAATCAACCCTTATTTGATCTCCAATTCTCCATCCCACTTCCGCTTTTAACGAGTTCGAAAATGGGTTTGTCTCCGATTTGGTTCATCCTTTCCCCTTTTCTTCCTGCAGAAGAAGCTCGATGAAGAAGAGCCGCAGCGAAACTACCAGAGCGTGGCCCTAGTAGTGGGCGTCACCGGAATCGTGGGCAACAGCTTAGCCGAGATCCTCCCGCTCGCCGACACTCCCGGCGGCCCATGGAAGGTCTACGGCGTAGCTCGCCGCCCTCGCCCCAATTGGAACTCCGACCACCCCATCGAATACGTCCAGTGCGACATCTCCAACGCCGCCGACGCCGAATCTAAGCTCTCCGCCCTCGCCGATGTCACTCACATCTTCTACGTCACGTGGGCAAGCTGCCCCACCGAGGCCGAGAACTGCGAGATCAATGGCAGAATGTTCAGGAACCTCCTCGCCGCCGTAGTCCCGAACGCCCCGAATCTCCAGCATATTTGCCTTCAGACTGGCACAAAACACTACGTCGGACCCTTTGACTCCTTTGGCAAAATCCAACCCCACGATCCTCCCTTCACAGAAGATCTCCCGAGGTTGAACTCCCCCAATTTCTACTACACATTGGAAGATATCCTCTATGAAGAAGCCGGTAAAAGGGAAGGGTTATCATGGTCCGTACACCGGCCAGATCAAATTTGGGGGTTTTCTCCCTACAGCATGATGAACATGATTGGGACACTCTGCGTCTACGCTGCCATATGTAAGCACGAGGGTTTGCCTCTGATTTTTCCCGGGACGAAAGCTGCCTGGAACTGTTACGCAAACTCGTCGGACGCTGACCTGATCGCCGAGCATCATATATGGGCGGCGGTGGATCCTTATGCGAAGAACGAGGCGTTTAATACAATGAACGGGGATGTATTCAAGTGGAAGCATTTGTGGAAGGTGTTGGCAGAGCAGTTTGGGATAGAGAATTATGGGTTTGAAGAGGATGCAGAGAAGAGAGTGAGCTTGGTGGAAATGATGAAGGACAAGGGACCGGTTTGGGAAGAGATAGTGAAGCAGAATCAGCTCGAGCCGACGAGGTTGGAGGAAGTTGCGACTTGGTGGTTTGTGGATTTGTTGTTTGGTGGGGAGGCTGTTCTTTCGAGCATGAACAAGAGCAAGGAGCATGGGTTCTTGGGGTTCCGGAATTCAAAGAGCTCGTTCATTTCCTGGATTGATAGGGTGAAGGGTTTCAAGATTGTGCCCTGAACCAAATTGCAGCTGCTTGTGATGGTTTTGCGTGAGTTTGGAATGTAGTATTGTTTGTTGTTGTATTCTGTTTGATAACTGTGAAAGCTTGGAGATTTTCTTTTCTGTTTCCTTCTCTTGATCCCTGGTTTCTAAATAAGTCAGTTCTGTTGTAAAAACATTTCATCTATTTGTTTATTTGATGTTGGGGATTGATTGATAATAGTGATTCACAAACAATGTGGCTTCCAATTCATTGAGATGTCAAAGTGTAGTGAACATCAGGAATATGTGGCTCTCTACAACTACAAGTCTGCTTACTGATAACATATGAACACTTGCACTAACTCCAGCTAACACTCAATAACTTGGAACTAGGGGTTACAGCACAATCTGAAGAAGCTATTGGTAGGCTCTAACTTGAAACGTGCTTCTGAAGTTGCTTGCTGCTTGGGGTATTAGCATGAGTCTTGCTGTTGGTGGACTTGCTGCTGCTGCTGCTATTGCTTGGTACATCTTTGTTACCGAATTCGACGCCATGGAAAGTGAGTCTGGATGATCTGTAGTGACTACCAAAGGCACTCCCAAAGCCCCATCCGAATCCTAGACCAACTCCACATCCTCCCCCTGTCAAAACAAAAGAGAGGGAAACTTCAGCTAAAGGGCTGAATGGACTAATCTTAGAGCGCGAGGAAATGAATGTACACACAATCAAATTATGCTTACCTGCACCAAGGCCGAAGATATTCATTGGCATGCCTGCGAAGAAACATGAGAGACATTGAACATTAGGAAACGCTTGTATTGGTTTAGGATAAAAGAGAAGGATATGTTGCAGTAACAGATAGGAAGATGCAAAATGATGGAATAAAATCGAGTATAATCGATCTTCCTCTTCTGATATGTAGGCAAGGAGATATACACAATGAAATACAACAACACTGATATCCCAAGTTCCAATATCTTCAATAGATCACCATAAAAGGCAAGATCTTCGCACGTCACTCCCTAACTATGATCTGCAGCTCAACTCGAAGTGATACTCAAACTTGCCAAATAATCAGTGGCAGGGCTAAATCAGCTTCCGGCACCAAGAACTACAAGTCCGGAACAACAAGAAGAAGCTCAACTGTACTATTTGCTACTTTCTATTCTACTCAGCAGGATGGAATAGAACGCTCAATCCATAAGTGGCAGATACAACATAATTCACACCTAAACCCATCAAGGATTGGAATCAACTTCTTCCCGAAGCTGAAAACTGAGAGGGTTAACTTCAAAGTCCAAACACATCAAGCTATTAAAGGAAATGGCTTTGAGGAGGAGGGGGGAAATCGAAAAGAGTAGAAACTGACCGCCAAAACCCCATCCAACGCCGAAGCCACAACCAACTCCAAACCCTGAAGAAGAGACGCAGAAGCAAATAACTTTCTATTAGGCAATTAACAGGAAGAGAAGACGAAGGAACAATGCAATTGAAGAGAAATCATTTCAATGGGGCGGAGAGAATCGGCGGTACCAAATCCAACGCCGACGCCGTCAAAATTGGTAAGCACCATTGAGTCAGTCTCCTGTCTCCCCTTATTAGAGCTGAGAGCAGAGGAAGATCGGAGTTGGGCTTGACCTCTGGATTCCGATCCAGGATCAAAATTTTATGGAGCTCACTTTAAAGTCGTGTGAGGGAGAGAGATTGATGGTAACCTCAGCTGGAGAGGGTGACTGAGAACTGGAAAATTGAGAAGTGATGAGCCGATGACAGGACAGGATGGTGATCGTCCTCCATCTCTTAAATTTTTGTGGAAATTGGGCCGAACATATTAGATTTCTGAGCGGGGCAAGCAATTGGGCCAACAGCCCACCACTTCATCTGTTTGGGCTCTTGTAGGGGGAAACGCAAAGGTATGCTTGATTGCTTTCTTCTATATTCTGTTTTATATTAATTCCAATTTGGTAATCCATAATATCAACTAAAATTCAAAAGATATATCTCTCAATTCCAAAAATAAATTTTATACTTTCACAATTCATGAATTTTTAGAAGTTCGATATATCTTAAATATCGTTACCAAAATTTCAGCTCTAATAAAAGCTTGTTGTTGTAGAAATGTCAATAGATAATTAGTTAAATTGATCGCTGAGTATTATAACATCAGTACAAAATAACCACGAACATATTTTCTTTTTTTCAAATTTTTTGCCTAAGATTAAAATCTATACTAGCATAGTATTTTTGAACTTTTACTGAGAAGTCTAATATGATGAGGAGGCAACTACTAGCTCAAACTTAAATTGTTGATTGGATAGCATAGGGAACCCCAAGCATGTATGCTTGCTAGCTAAGAACATGGCCAGTAGATGTTTCCTATGGCCAATATCTAGAACATAATAATCGACTCGAGGGTCAGGAACTAAATGAACTATAGTAAATGGATTTTTTTTTTTGAATAAAGATAATTTGAGACAAAGATAATTTGATCTATCAACACCGTCTTTACTCTTGTCAATTAAGTGCTATACAAGTAGATATATCATATAAGAATTTTTTGCTTTTATCCTGATAAGTCACATGAAAATCTTTGTCAATAAAAAAAATGATTAAAAACGATATGAACTTTGTAACGTTGCATTCATATAAGAACACAATTTGTTTTTCAATTTTTAACCAAAACAAATTACGATTGAGCTTGTCAGCATCCACATAATGAACCACCTAATTCACTATTCAAGTAGTTTTAATTGTGATAAAGCCTAGCCACCTTAGTGATTACATATGAAAATAGTAAAACTACTACAACCAGGCTGGACTCCAATTACAAGTGATCATAATTTATAAGTCATAACTCATAACACCATAATTGGAATTTGGAAAACATGCCAATTCAAAACACTCTAGAACACACCATTAACGACAGAAAATTTACATTACGATACAACTTTACACAATTCAGTTCGACATGTCTATATCATTTAATAATTCACCTTCAAATTAACGTTATAACCTGTCATAAAGAAAAATTAATGTTATAAGAATCAGAAGTTCAAAAATGTATCCATTTTGTTTTTGTGCATTATGGCCGCTGGCGTTCATTCTGTGTCAAGGCACAATCCTGAAAGCCTTCAATTTATCAATCCAAGCAACAAACGAGCGATCCGAATTCCTGAACCCTAAAAACCCATGCTCTTTACTCTTATTCATACTCATCATCATCCCACCGCCTTCACCTCCACCGCCGCCTTCGCCATCGCCGCCGAGCACCTCATCCACGTACCACCAGTTCCCAATCTCCTCTAGCTTCGTCGCCACCAGATCGTTCTTCCTCACAATCTCCTCCCACACCTTCTCCTTCCCCTTCATCATCTCCGCCAGCCCCACTCGCCGCCTCTCCTCCGCCTCCTCCATCCCCTGCTTCTCAATCCCGAACTGCTCCGCCAGCACCTTCCACAGCTGCTTCCACTTGAACGCATCCCCATTCATCACATTGAACGCCTCGTCCTTCGCGTTCGGGTCCACTGCCGCCCAGATCTGGTGCTCCGCCACCAGATCCGCGTCCGACGCCACCGAGTACCCCTTCCACGCCGCCTCCGATCCGGGGAAAATCAGCGGCCTCCCTTCGTGCTTGCATATGGCGGCGTACGCGCATAGGGACCCGATCACGTTCATCAGGCTGTACGGCGAGAACCCCCAGATCTGGCCCGGGCGGTGGACGGACCACGTCAGCGGCCGGCCCTGCTTCCTCGCCGCCGTCTCCTCGAACAAGACGTCTTCAAGGGAGTAGTAGAAATTTGGGGATCTCAAACGGGGCAGATCCTCGGTGAAAGGCGGTTCGGGTCTTGGGCCGGGTTCGGGCGACCTGATGGGGCCCACGTAGTGGTTCACGCCCGTCTGTAGGCACACGTGGCGGAGGTTCGGCGCGTTGGGGACCACCGCCTGGAGGACGTTGCGGAACATTTGGGAGTTGACCCGGCAATTCTCCTCCTCCGTGGAGCAGCGGGCCCACGTGGCGTAGAAGATGTGCGTAACGTCGTTTAGCTGGGCAAGCTTGTATTTCGCGGCGGCGGCGTCGGCGACATCGCATTGGATGTAGCGCATGCGGTGGTCGGCGCTCCAGGCGGTACGGGGGCGGCGGGCAACGCCGTAGACTTTCCATGGTCCGCCGGGGGTGTCGGGGAGCGGGAGGATTTCGGCCAGGCTGTTGCCGACTATGCCGGTGACTCCCACGATTAGGGCGACGCTCTGGTAATTGGTCCGAGGTGCGGCGGCGTCTACGTCGGATTTCTTCTGCAAAAAGAAAAAGAGAGAGGGGAAATTGTGAGATCGGAGAATAGGTTAGAAGGGATGGCGGTTGAGAAAGGATTGAATGATTGGTGATTAATTTTACCCTGGTAACGCCGATGGCACCTGCCCACCACCAGCTCATGGTTTTTCCTTGGTTTTGGATGGAGAAAGGAAATTAAGAATTGGAAAATGAAAGGACAAACTAGGATTATGACGGGGAGGAAGGAGATTAAGGATGAGAGTTGAAACGTAAAGGTACGTAATTGAATTGATTGGATTGGGATGTGGATGGAGTTAGGGGTTCGCGGGAAAATCTGGACTGGTTGGAACGCAGAGCGGGAAACTTGGATGTCTGTTAAGGTTCTGTAAATTCGTTGGTGTAATTAATTAATTATAATTTGATAATCATAAAGAAAAGAAAATTATCTCAATATTTGCTTTTTTCCCCTCTAAACCACCTGGCATATTTTGAGGAGCAAATGTGTAAGTCTTTCTTAAATGGAAATATCTCCTATTAATTTGATCAAAATGGTTATATAAGTTTTGATCAAAATGGTTACATAAATTTGGGTCAATAATCAAATGGTTAGTGTTTGAGCATAGAAAGTATTAGGCGGTTGTGTAGAGCACGAGCGAGGCGACCGTTTTTGTTGAGGGAACGTACTCCTGAACCCTACAAAAAAGGGGTCCATGGGTGACCGCCCATGACACTATCCGAATATTAAGTTAGAGAGAGAAGTGAGAATATGAGTCAGGTTTAGAGAGAGAAAAACTAGTTGAGTTACCATCAATGCTCATACGGGGGTATTTATACCTTGATAGGTGAGGACTCAAGCATTAAATGTTGTATCAGGCGCTCTAAGTATGTACTTTCCCGTAGCAGACCGCCTACGGCGGATAATTAATGCTCAGACCTACTTATACCGAGGTAAGTGTATCTCCGGATCTTACCCTCCTGTCACCATCAGTGCTTTGTGTCAGGCAGTTTCCTATCGTCTCCCGAGACGACCGCCTAACTACCAGGAACCGCCCACCTATCTTGGGCCAGACTTACTTTCCTTTATGGGCCTCAAAGTCCAATACCGCTCAATCACGCGGCCCACGAGTTAGTACTTAGTAATATTTGAAATATGCCAAAAATGTCATATTGTATTACAATATAATAAAATAGTCATTTAATTTCTTTCCATTCATATTTTCATCAAGTGTCAAATAACATAGTTAAGGTCAACTTCAAGGGATCATGTATTCATAGTATTTTGAGTTCACTATTAATTCAAGTGTGTAATCATTAACAAATGTTAACATAGTTGAAGAAACTAAAATATGTTATTTAACCTTAAAGTCTATAATCCAATTAGTAAGTAACTCATTTATTTGTTATCCACACATATGTAGGGGTGCTAATCATTTCGGTGTCGATAAATTACTAACTAATTTGGTGATTACTGGTTAACTACTAAGCCAAAAATCTTTACAGATAACCCTTGTCGGCACGGCTAGCGATTAAGCACTAATCAATAACAACCACACATATGTCATTTTCCTTTTGTTGAATTTGAATATTTTGTGTGGTTTCCTTTTCAATAATTCAACATAATTTTAGACAATTGTTCAAAACAATTAAACGTTGTAAACATAAAAATAATAATCATAATAAATTACATCAATAGAATACATCATTCGTCGTGGTTATATTAGTAGGTGATTATCGATTTGCTTGTCGGTCAACCATTAACTGATTAGTCGATTAGCAGTTAACCATACCATTAAAGAATTATCGATTATCAGTTAACCCCTAACCACTAACCGCATCATTGGTTTGGTTATCTATTTTATTCAATAACCGACCAACTGTTTGCCAACTATAACCGTCTTGTCGAATCACCAATTGAGAGTCCCCAAAGAAATTCACTACTAAAAATCCATGCGTCGAAAAATGATTGGCTTTTACTACAAGTTCAATAAGTGGCAAAGTGTAACCACATATTGGGAAGCATTATAGTAAAATGAAGTCTTAATATGTCAACTCAGGACCTAGATATACTAGTTCTCAGTGAAGTTTCTATTATCTAGCAATTAAGTAGACAAAGCAAAGACAACTCGCGAGGCTAAAGAGCCAAATAAAACTTTGTTTTGACTCTCATTAGTAAATGAGCTATAAGCTAATGATCGAGCTCATTAAATACTGAGTCGAACTTTTTCTGAACCAAGCATCGAGCCATTTGTAAGCAAGTTAATTGCATAGCAACTAGTGTACCCATATCCTTTCTCCAACCCCTCCATATTCACTCATGATACATGTTCGTTTAGCTTGCTTCGCATTGCATAGCAGCTGTACCACCCAACCAGCCAAACGGCTACCACTATTGGTCATTACTCATTACATTAAGACCCCATCTGGCTTTGGTCGCCCAACTCATCAACTCATTCTTAGCAGCCAACTACCCAGAAACAGAAAGATATGCTTATCTACACAACACACACACACACACCAACTGGTGGTTATAACTTTTCGAGTATATAATCTCCTTTGCCAAAATAGTCAAACCTTCTCCACTGCATTTCCTGGCCTGTGTTTCTTCTTTATACAACAATACAAAGACCGACAGCTCCTCATCAAAATAGACGAGACATGGGTGTACATGAGAAAAGCGACAAATTTGGCAGGCTGGGGACTGTCTGACACGACATATTCATATATGGATACAAACAAGTCACAGATAGATAACCCTATAGCTAATAACTGTAACTAGTCACCTCTCTAATCTGACGCCGTCGTCGACTCCTTCGTCTTCACATCAGAATCCTCCCCTTCTGTTACACCCCCCTCATTTTCCAGTTCTTCACCCATCTGTTGTAGAATGTTGTTAAGGGTCTTATAGTGCACAGAATGCAATCAAACCTGCAAACAAAATTACCATAGTTATAAACATTGTTCAGTTACTTGACAAAAGAAAAAACTGCAGTCCTACATAGTGTTTGGTGTGACAAGTCGATCAAATTGTATCCTTCTATGAGGTAGACATTGCACCTACCAAGAAATGAGTAGTAAAGAACAGGTAGGGCAATTCATGTCAGTTATGACAAATTATAATGGCAACAAGTTCCTTTCGTACACAAAGGTGTTAACCACTCTCTTAAGTAACTGAATCAGCACAGCTGTTGTTGGATGTGGACAGCATAACACACAGAAATGCATTCGAAGGGACCATTTAATTCGTAGTGTGGAATTCAAGCATTTTCCCTGTGCTTGATTTCTCAACCTATAGAAAACAAACGAGAGTCTCTAGACTTGTTTCAGGAAATAATCATCAGATATATTCCATGTTTCGGGAATATCTAGAACAAGGACAACAGCTCTTATTGCTATGATAGTGAGGGATCTCTATGTTGCTCCTCTGCAACACAATAATTGCCAAGGTGATCTCACATTGTTAAGAGATTACCTAGGCTGTCAAAACTCAAAAGCCTTCTCCAAGACTCGGCTACAGCGAGTCTAAGGCTGACAAAACACATGGAGGAAATGGACACTTAAAACAGAAGTGTCCAAACATATAACACCTAATAGGCTGCAACCTCTCTCAGCATATGCAAAATCAAACTAGAGGGACAAGATGGAAGATAAATGTAAAACATGGTTCAAAATACTGAACCTACAAGCTCCCCAAGAACTAGCTGGTCAGTCATGAAGCATAGCATGCAACTAAGCAAGGGTCTATCGGTATCAGTTTGCTCGGTGTATACAAGAGTTCAGTAGGGCTAAAAAATCTTTCAACAGAATGAAAGAATTAAAGGTTCATAGAGAACCCAGTGGCATGGCTAAGAACACAAATCTATCAGCACTGACATTTTGTTAATGAAGACCAACCCATACTACTTTGAAACATGAAGACCAACCCAGTAGCATACATTGCAAAACAAATCAAGAACAGACGAAATAACATGAGAAAGTCTTGAGTGCACTCACCAATAAAGCAGAAGAGAATGAAAAGCCACAAAACTGATTGAATGGGTCGACCATATTGCATCTGATATTGAGATCTTTGAAGTTGTCTCTGTAATGCACCATACCAGCCATAAAGCGGCTTATCGTAATATTCATCACAGCCTTCCAGACAGCTCTTGCTTTTCTCGTAGCATGAATTAATACCCTGTTCCAAACAAAGAGTTAATCAGAACTAATACCAACAGGATCATACAGACAAAAAAGTAGGATCCTCTGGACAAATTCAACATAAAAGATTAGGCAACTCCCCACTCACCCTAGTTAAATGTGAAGAATGCAATGGAATAGAATCAGATTCTTCATAACGATCCATTGCCTTCCACTTCCTAACACCATTCTTTGGCCATTTCAGTTTGGGCATAGATTCAATGGAACTAACAATCACAGATAGACTAGGTATCTTTCTGGGAGGTTGCTGGGACTCTGCCTTAAACGAATCCTGTTGGACCCCATCTACACCAATCGGAATCTTCCAAGCACCCATATCAGCACCTGCGCTAACTGACCTTCTGTGGCCATAAGACATCTCTTCTTTGGTCTCTGGATAAGCACACTCAACGGAATGACTAGCCTCCTTCGAACAATCATCGGGCATTGCTTCTTCAACAGTCTTATCGCTCCTATCACTTTTCATAGAACTGTTTTCTCCACTTATTGGAGGTGGCCCTGAGAGAAATGCTGCAAGTTCATTTCGCTCGCCTTCATCCAAGCTCACCCAAGGTAACGATGCATCCCCTACTGAATTGGCGGATTCCTTCAGTGACGTCTCTACTCTAGAAATTTGGTCCTCAATCGCAATAATGAATTGACTATGTCTTTCTCTAGCACCATCAGTAGAGCTATTAACGTAAGTCGATTTCACAGCCTTAGCAAACTCCTCCAGCTGCGTAACCAAACTCAACATCAGAATAGACATCTCCAAACCAACTACATCCAATTTTCTTCCGAACAAATAAGCAGATAACTCATCCACTTCCCCATGAAGAGTAAGTATGAATTAGTAGGTTACCTGCCATTTGGTGGTGCCTAGGGTTGTATGTAAATCCCGGCGGAGTTCCTCTGCGTCCCACATAGTAGAACTGTGTTTCTTGGCATGAAGCCATGTTCTGTAGGTCGATTCCATCCTTTTTTCCCAAACAAGAACAAACAAAAAACAGAACCAAAACTCAGACAATCGTACAGTCAAAAGCTCAAATGTGCAATTGACCTTAGCTATCCCCATCACAAAAATATTCCTGGGAGTAATCGACCATCATTTTCACACTGCTGGGCCAAACCCGCCCGAACCCTTATGCAGAATTCTCTACCTAACGCAGGAACATCATCTCTTCTGACAAATCGAAGAAAATAAAATGAACTTGTTTCAACAACCCCCAAAACTCCCGGAGATAATAAAAAAATCATCCGCCCACGGTAGAAAGCAGCTAAACTAGCACCAAAGGAAGGGAAATTATTAACCGAAATGAATCAGGAAGCGGGTATACCTGTCGGCGGACTCCTGAACTTCCTCAGCGGCAGGGAAGAATGGATCCTTCTCCCATCGGTCAAAACTGGTTGCCATTTAAATTGAATTCGAATACAGGCCAAAAAACTCCCCACTCAACAGGTTAAACAAAAAACAAAAAGGAGCGCTGCCGGAGGGGAGTAAGAATTTGAAACAGCGACGGACGGGCTTTCACCGGGAAAAGGAACGACCGAATAAATTAATGAGCCCTAGATTACAGGACACTCCTTCTCCTCCCTGCGAATCTCTCGGCGGGCGCCTCCCTTCGACGTCGAGCTCGCCGGGATCAGATATAGATTCTGGAAATCCGAAACGCAGGAAGAAGGTAAAGGAGAGAGAGAGGGGAAGGAAAGAGAAGGTTCGGATCGGTGGTTATAGGAAGGAAAGGAAAGGAATGGGCTTAAGCCTTAAAAGTGAAGATGATAAAAAAGGAGAGAGCAGGAAAGAGGGGATTAGTTTTTTAACCAATAAATAATGATAAGCGGAAAAATTAAGCACGCGAAATGCTTGCTGAGGCAGCGCGTGGAGATTATTATTATTAATAAATAAATAAAATCGCAGGAGGAAGAAAGAAGAGCACAGAGCACAGAAGCGGCGTTGATAGCAGCAGCCAGCAGGCCAGCAGCCAGCCCACCGGCCAACCAAGCCACATTATTATTTCACTTAATATCATATAAATATTTATTAATTAACTAAATATTGTTTTAGTTTAACTGTCGTCTTGTTGATAAATGCCAGCCCCTAATTTTTTTTGTGCATTTTCCTTTTATGACATAAACTTTAGTATAAAATTATAAATGTGGGCAGAGGCTCTCGCCTCTCTCCTGGAATTCTTCCAAGACTCCGCCCATCTCCTTATGCGATGTTGTGTGAGCATACTGAAAGTGGCCATCGCAAATCAAGATCGGACGCATAATCAGGCGATCCCGGCAGCTTGTCAGGATATCCACCGGGCCGGTGGTCTGGTGTTGAAGCCCCGACTGCAGAATCGGGTGGGGACCAAATACAAGGCCTTTTGTACCACACATGGGAGCTTCAAAAGAAGGCGCAGCCCTCCTGGAGTAAAAGAGGCCGGTGTAGACCTCCATCCAAGTAAAAAACTAAGGACCTGCAAATTGACGGCGTGGAGATTCACACTGCCGTCGGCAAGCGAGATGGGTTGGGATGAAGGGGACATCCAGCCCGTCCATAAGAGAGATGACCAGAACTCACTGGACAGCTTTCCAAATTCATCCCCTGAGTTTAAACTTAGACCCCGAGATGGGGCGAGTTTTTCCTGTCAATTCAATGGCGAAAAGGAGGCCGGAAGTATTCCCGGCCGCCGGCCGGAGAGGAACACCCAGTGTAACACGGCATCTCCGTTGGTTTCTCTGACCACCACAATCGTTACCTATCCGGACTCTCAGCGGCCGTTGATTCGCTGTAACGGATTAGGATTCTCAGCGGTGACATGTTCATGTAACTACCGACGTCAATCCAATGATTCGTCTTGGAAAATAAAAAATTCAAAAACAAAAATAGTTTGCCGAGTCCCAACCCAATTGGGTCTCCCGCTGCCAATGGGAAGCTGCACGTCAGTCTCCTATTTAAGGACTGCCTGTCAACGAGACACTCTCACAAAAAAACAAGAGCAGCTCTCTGCAACTGATAGTCGTGCAGTCATTGCCAGCGAAGACCGCCACACAGGTATGTGGATATTCAATGGGGTCGGGGACGATTTTTGGCTTTGGCTGGAGTCAGTCTTGTGTCGACTCCTTATTATCCCTCAATCATGCTTTCCTTGGTCGGGTTTAGACTCCCTTCATGTGGATAAGGCGATAATGCCATGTGACTCTTATAATATCTTCCCTTCCTTGCAGCTGCTCACCATGTCGCATATTGCTAAGGAACAGATTGTCGAGTTCTCCCTGGAGGATGTCCAAACGGAGAGGATGCTGAGGGCTCGCACGGTGCTGGGTCGCCTCTTCTCAGAGAACCAATTCTCCATATCTGAGTTGAGGGAATCCGTGAACAACCCATGGCAGGGAAGAAGTCGGATCAGAATCAGGATGGTTGCTCATGGATTATATGAGTTTGTCCTCCCAACGGAAGCTATTAAAGTTTGGGTTCTGAAACAATCACCATGGGTCATCAAAGACAGGATTCTCCATTTGAGAGCCTGGTCCCCTACCATCAATAAGCGCACTTTTGACGACCTTGCCATCGCACCCTTCCGTGTCCAGCTATGGGAGGTACCGGAGGACTGCTATACGAAGCAGTTTGGGAAGAAAGTTGCTGAGTCCATGCTTGGGAAGGTGCTGGAGGTCGGACTATTTGCTTGCTCGGATACAGCGCGCCAATTCATCAAGGCGAAGGTTCTTCTGGACTTCTCCAAGCCGCTGCGTTCCCAAATCATGGCTTCAAATGAAGAAACTGGTCGCTTTTGGATACATTTGAAATACGAACACTTACCGAGCTTTTGTTTTCACTGTGGGCGTGTAGGCCATTCACGGCAGACTTGTACCTTCGACCCACCGGCTGGGAAAGAAAGGTTTGGTCCGCACATGATGACCAAAAAAATGGGTCATAAGATTTATGATGAGGAGGACACCACAAGAACCTATCCTCCTCGGTCGGTTTGGGTGAACACTGAGCGCAAAGATCGGAGGGGCAATGGCCACCAACCGACCCCTCCTAAGCCGCGGGAAGTCCGACGGGAAGCTGATCGGGAGAATCATCGGGCGGGGAAGACAGGGGTGAGGCCTGCGGTTGAAACTAGCCCTCTATGGATGGGGACTTCCAATAACCCGTTCATGGAGGTGGAGTCGCCAAATCACCAAGGGAGGAATCCCACTCTTCGATTCCCTGTAGCTAAGGGCCCTCGTATTGCTATTGGTTCCCAAGGCCGAAAAAAGCACCCACATCAGGAGCGTGATGCTCAATCTCCCATAATGGCCCGGAAAAAAACAAAGGAAGGAGGGGAGCGTTCGAGCAGGGTCATGCAACAGGAGAGGGAGAATGTTCCTCGTCCTGAGAAGCGTGGTCGGCGGCCAAGGCGGAATCACGCTGCTCGTCCCTCGCGACAGTCACCAAACCAAGACATGGAGATTGACCCATCACGACGGCGCCGGCTGCTTCTCCAGGAGGAATCCGAAGAGGAATTCATAGTGCAGGAGATCCCCATGCACGTCCAGCCCTTGGCGTCGTTGGGAGATGATGACTGCGCAACAGGCGAGGCTGATGCTCCGCCGCGTGTCTCTCGGACTGGGGTTAATAAACAGCAGCGACATAGCACCAAGCTGCAAATGAAAGCCAAGAAGGCGGATGATGTTGTCTCCGAGCAGCTGCTGCAACCGAAGGGGCCACGTAAAGATGTGGTCATTGATGCCATGCCCTTGCGGGTTTGCCCTCCTAGCCGGGAGGTTGAGGGGCATGATCTGAATGTGGGAGAAGAGGCGGAGAATGATGGCTCCGTTGCCTTTGCTAAGCTGGGGAAAGTCCCAAACGAGACCAGCCCAGCCCAAGCGAACTTGAATGATACGTCTTCGGACGAGGATGTCAACCTGTTTGAGCTTAAAAAACGTGCTACGGCTGGGAAGAGGAAATTTCGACGCCAAGATCAGACGGGGCGGGTCCAACAAGTGGTCCAAGCCTTTGAAGCTGGGCTGGTGATGGACGCTGGGCTGATCGAAAAGAAGGATGTGCAAGGAGGTGGGATTGCTCAGTTTGGTCTCAACGAATATGGGACCAATCTCGTGACACCTTCGGGCGGGAGCTTAAAACGCCCTTTGGATCAGCTGAGTGATCATAATGAGGCAGCCCCAACTCCGAAGAAACAGTTTGTGGAAGACATTGAGGATATGGATAAGGTGGAGGAAGCCAGCCTGGAGTGGCCCCACCCGATTAAATGAGGCTTCTCGCCTGGAATGTGAGAGGAATTGGACCATCCCTCACATTTCAAACTGCTTTTGGGTTAATTCGCTCGAATAAACCGGATCTTGTGTTTTTTTCTGAAACACGATCGAGCCGGAAAGTAGTGTCCCGTCGTATGCGCGGTTTAGGTTTTGACATTTCTCGTTGTTTCTTTGTTGATGCGTTGGATGCATCTGGTGGGTTAGTTATAGCTTGGTCCCCCAAAGTTGACGCTTCGGTGTTTTTCAATTCGGAATTTTGTATTTGCACTCAAATTAATGATGATTCCTTTACTTATATGGTGGTTTCGGTTTATATTAGTTGTAACCTTGCGATCAAAGCAACTTAGTTGGCTCAGCTTCAGCAAATTTGTGCTGCTATCTCGCTTCCCTATGTGGTTATAGGTGATTTTAACACTACTCTTCGTGAGAGTGAGAAGGAGGGAGGGAACGCTTGGAATGTAGCCCAATCTATTAGCCTTCGCGATTTCGTGCATGATCTGGGTCTCCATGACCCCGGGTACCAAGGGGACATGTTCACTTGGACTAATAGGAGGATGGGTGCGGCTTGTATTCGTGAAAGGCTGGATCGAGCCTTATGCTCTCAAGGCTGGATTGATAATTTTCCGGAGACTTTGGTCAAGCATTTTACTGACCAGGGATCGGACCATAGGGCTCTCCTCCTCTCGGATAAGCCGTATTCACGAACTACTCGACCATTGTTCCGTTTTGATGCTCGCTGGGCGGACAATCCTGAGGTCCGGGCCATGGTCAATTATGTTTGGAGGGAAGACATCGTCGGGACTCCCATGTTTCAGCTATGGGAACGCTTGAAAAAGCTTCGCCACTTACTTTATGATTGGAGTAGGGCTGGTACAACGAATTCCCTTCGGAATATCAAAACCCTCCAGGCGGAAATTGACCAGGTTAGATCGGTCCATCCCATAGATTGGGACACTATTCGCGGCCTGGAAGTTGAATTAAGCAGACAGTGGGATGCGGAAGAGATATACTGGCAGCAGAAATCCAGAGTCCACTGGTTGAAAAAAGGTGACAAAAATACCTCGTATTTTCATACAGTCACGAGGACTAGACGTAAACGAAATTTTGTGGCTGGTCTCCGAGATGATAACGGAGAGTGGATTACTGACGAAGCTGGGAAGGCAGGAATTGCTTGTAGCTTCTATAGTAACCTTTTTGCCTCGGAGAACCAAGTACGGAATATACGAGAAAGGGTCGCTGTGTTACCCATTGCCCAGAGTATTACTCCGGAGATGAATAGCAGCCTGACGGCTGAAGTCCTCCCTGAGGAAGTTAGGAAGACTGTTTTCTCAATGGGTTCAAAACAAGCTCCTGGGTCGGATGGGTTCACTGGAAAATTTTTCAAAGCTTTCTGGGACATTGTTGGCGATTCTGTTGTAGACGCGGTCTGCTCGTTTTTTAGAACAAGCAGGATGCTCCGCAGCTTTAATCATACCTGGCTGACCTTGATCCCGAAAGTGGATAACGTGGAAACCATGAAACAGCTTCGGCCTATAAGCCTTTGTCAGTTTGTCTACAAAATCATTACAAAGATTATGGCT